CGATTGGTGATAATATGAGAAAAAGTTGACGCAAGACTTCAGTGAACAATATGGACAATACTTGTAGTACAGGCATACTAGACTTAGTGCTCCATATGAGTTCGTATTGAACAGTGTTTTTTTTTCGTGATAGTTTTATACCATCTTGTAGTCGTTATAAAGCGCTATCGAGCCATATGAAAACTAGTGTGATCAGTCATCGAATTGGTAAATAAAAATAGATAGTTCTCCTCAACAATCATATATAGTGTACATACGGCAGTCATTGACTATTTTCAATCAAGCGCAGCGCAGCACATGGAAGTACTAAGGATCTGATTCCACAACGGATCACTTTGAGACACCATGAATGAGGGTTTGACATGAAAAAAGCCATATTTTCGCAGAGAGCCGATTCCATCAGTCATCTACTGTAATCAACTCCTATGCTGATACGTTTGATCCGATAGGACTTTTCCTTACCGATTCAAAGCATGACAGAAGTCATTAACGGCTGCTTGCCTGAGATCACCCGCCCAACAGCATGTTGACTACATTGTGGCATACACCTGGTTCTAATGACAAATGTGCGTCCAGTCAGTGGACGTCGGAGCTCAAGCGATTGAGCGCAAGAATTGATTTAAACCGGCTTTCTATTCAGAGCTAGAGCTAGTATTAATTGTAGAGAACATATCAGTCTTGCAAAACTGCCTATGGGCATCATCTCGTATCACAAGTTGATTAAAGATAGTTTTCTTTTTCTTGATGTTGCTCTTATTTCATTTCGTGACGTTCCCGCATTGGTAGTGCCTTCTTCAGACAGCAAATAATAATGAAATGATGACAACACACAGGAATGCACATTCTCTCAAATTCCTTCTTTTCTGTTATCCTGATAGCGGCGCAACAAGATGATGATAGTAAAGGAACGACCAACTAGCTAATCTTCTTCTGCCATGCAACTACCAAAATAGCAAAAAAGAAAAAAATTGAGGGCAACTTCATGTGTGTATTTTCATCATTTCGTTGCTATCCACTGTCAGAAGAAGGGACCATCGAGGTAAAAATGTCACGAAGCAAAATAAAAGCAACACCAAGGAAAAGAAAAGTGTATTTAATCAACTGAAAGCAACCCTCTTTCTCAATGAAAGTCAACTCGCATCGAAGGATAGCCGAAAGGTAGAGGTTTTCTTCTTCTTGTTGTTTCTTTAGAGTGTAGTCAGACTGATCGTCGTTATTTTTTCTAAGATGATCTACACTTAAACTATAAGTAACAGATTATACAGGTAAGACAAGTAAACTAGTGATTGAAGATGCATTACTCATGATTAATTTTTTTCTCCGTATTGCTTTTTGTACATTCACGTGTGAGGGACATCGCTGTTTCCTTTGTGTCATGCAAATAAGGTTTCCTTAAGAAATGTTCAAAGGTAAAATGTCGAAAAATCAAAATCTTTGCCGATCATAGGGTCCACTCGCATCCTTAGTCTCGTACTGTGAGCGACAGTTTTGAATCACGGTTTATTTATTTGAAATCTAACCACCATTTTATATCTTGAATTTACCACATTTTCAGCTTTAGACATTTAACAATTTCACCACACATAAGAGTTGGTCATCACTTTTAGAGTGCGCCCATGAAGGGTTCAAGAAACCGAAGGACTCGTCAAAATTTAAATTTTTGGCATTTTATGCGTATTCCATGAATCATCATCAAAAATCATCAAACCCAAAGTTTAGATCATTTGAATGTTCCATAGAAATGTTAACCAACATCGACTTCTCAGCATTACCTACCCAATATGAAGAAAGTAGTCGGAAATTGTTCCATACGTGTCCACTACGATTATGCCTCGATAAGTCGAACAATTATTTTATGCAATATATCAAAAGATGGCTCATGCATAACTGAAAAAAACACGAGCTATTAAAAATATTGTATGTTATCTATTTATCGAGGTTATATAGGCCAACAAGGATAGAAGCTGACAAAATTTATGAGTTTATGATAGTTAATTTTTGGAAATATATCGGCTGCCATCTTTTTTTAAATCAAGAGATTCTACTTTGAATCGTCGATATGTTATGTGATTTTTGTTTCTCTACAAAATTTTGGATGCAACAAATCCTTATTTATCTGTATAAAGATTGTAAATTTTCAGGATGAAAATTCACCAAATTCAGCCAAATCTTTGTGTCAATTATAACCAGTTTTAATCACTCTTTTTGATACTGGTTATAATTGACACAAAGATTTAGCTGGATTTGGTAGATTTTCATCCAGAAAATTTACAATCTGATGCAGATAAATAAGGATTTGGTGCACCCCTATACAAAATGGTAAAAAAATATTAGAAGAAAAAGTTTTTCATTGGCCCGGAAAGTGGCTAACAATTTCCGTTATACAGTGAATGCCCTCGAGGAAAACAATCCTGAACACTTTTTAATGTCATTCATTGAGGCCAATTTTCATATCGAAAAAATTAGAACTGCATCCTGGATAGAATGGCATGAACTGTTCCCTCGAAAAAGAGAAAACATTTTCGATCTCCGTGCACTTCTGCAGGAAGAGAGGAGACTTCCATTTAAAAACTTTTTTTCGCGTAATCGAACAATGATCATCTTATACGATAGTACTTCGAATCCTGATCACAGCCATATAGTCGAAGCTCATTATTAATTTTAATTTAGTGGTATGGGGTTGATTTCTCGAGGTGATATACTTGCCATATATCATCAAATGCTACAACAGAAAGATGCTTTATATATCACTACATCACTATTAATAATGAACTTCGACCATATGGCTGTGATCAAGACTTGAAGTCCTACCATTCGAGATAATCACTGTTCGATTACGCGAAAAAGTTTTAGTCGAAATTCTTTTCTCCCTCAGAAGTGTACGGAGATCGAAACTTTTTTTCTTTTTCGAGGAAACAATCCATGCCATTCTATTCACAATGAAGTCCTAATTTCTTGAAGATGAAAACTAACATCAATGAATGACATTTAAAAGTGTCCAGGATTGTTTACCTCTAGAGTATTGACTGGATAACGGGAAGTGTTAGCCATTTTCGGACCAATGAAGAACTTTTCCCTCTAACATTTCTTTACCATTTTGTAGAGAAACAAAAATCACATAACATACCGACAATTCAAAATAGGATCTCTTGATTTAAAAAAAAGATGGCAGCCGGTATATTTCCAAAAATTAACTATCATAAACTCATAAATTTTGTCAGCTTCTATCCTTGTTGGCCTATATAACCTCGATAAATAGATAACATACAATATTTTTAATAGCTCGTGTTTTTTTTCAGTTGTGCATGATCCATCTTTTAACATATTGCATAAAATAATTGTCCAACTTATCGAGGCATAATCGTAGTGGACATGTATGGAACAATATCCGACTACTTTCTTCATATTGGGTAGGTAATGCTGAAAAGTTGATGTTGACTAACTTTTCTATGGAACATTCAAATGATCTAAACTTTGGATTTGGTGATTTTAGATGATGATCTATCGAATGGACACAAAAAACCAAAAATTCAAATTTTGATGAGTGCCTCGTATACTGGAGTCATCCTTGATGTTCTCATGGAGGCTCTCTTAAGTATTTAACTATTCACTAGGTTTTCTGAACTATTGATAACAAATGCATGATCAACTGATAAAGAGCAGTTAAATAAAGTTTTAGAAGTGATAAAACGGTTTGACATTTTTAGCGCTACCCTTCCTGTAGACGACACTAGGTGACATCAAGAGAACATTTTCATTATGCCATCGATGCTACGGTTGTCATCATGTGATGTGCGTTTCATGGTTTGGTGCCTGATATTAATTATGCTACTCGGTTTGGGTTTTCGTCACTTTTCACATCCTCTGCTACGCCACTCTTCGCTGTCTGGCATCCTACCATTAGGTCCACAACAAGCAGTTACACCACAACTTGTAACTGAGTCACCTCTCATCCGCCTCTATCTTGATGTTGTTCGTGATACGGTATGTGGTCTCAGCCTTCGCACTCAAGAAGGAACGATTGACAGTGATACGAAAAATAAACGTCCAGTGAGAGTTCATGAGCGTGTAGCAGGTCGCGATCGACCTCTTATTGGTATCACTATGATCGGACAGCGACGTCTTGATAATATCGAATGGGCTTTGAGACGCGTTATTTCCAACAAAATACCTGGCGACTTCATCGAATGTGGTGTGTGGCGAGGTGGTGCTTCAGTCTATGCTCGAGCCGTGCTCAAAGCACTTGAAGTTACCGATCGACATGTGTGGGTAGTCGATTCATTTCAAGGTTTGCCAAAAGCGAGAACAAATAATGACGATAACAGTTGGTACAAAATGGAATATCTTAAAGTGCGTGTTTTAAAATCAGCTACCACTTGTACTCTGCTATCTCAATTTATTGCTTTAGGTATCTCTGGAAGAAGTTCAAACCAATTTTTTTGCGTTCGGTCTCCTCGATAGTCAAGTTCACTTTTGCAAAGGATACTTTGTTGATTCTCTTCCTCGATGTAATGTTTCAAAAATTGCCGTTCTGCGAATGGATGGCGATATGTACGAGTCAACAATGGATCAATTGTTCAATCTATACTCGAAAGTACAACCTGGTGGAATCGTCATTGTCGATGACTATGCAATCGCTGTGTGTAGGAGAGCTATTCACGACTTTCGTCAATGGCACAATATCACCGAACCAATTATTCGAATTGCTGATGACCCCACCGGCGTATTTTGGATAAAAGCAAAGAATGTTGAATTGCAAACATATCGATACGAACTATTACTCGTCACCCGCAAACCGACGACATCTTGATATAGCCCACTACCGTTTCCTGGCAGAAGAAGTACGAAGAACATAAACAATATCATGGAAAGCCATAAAATCAAATTCGTTGATTATGTTACATCATGAACTTGATACTAAACATTAATCTATCCGAATCAGAGATGAGCTTTATCTTTCTAGGTAATTGAAATGCTAACGACGATACGGAAACAATAAAAATCAATTATTTCAAACAGAAGCATATTTCGTGTAAAGTAGTGATCAGAATACACCTTTGTCAATTTTCTGATTTGTTAGTACTATCGTCTATTCAGAAATAAGCAGAGTGGGTATTTCTTTAAACAAATCTTGATAGGAAAAATATAAAAACCTTTGGTTTTCACCATGTTATAGAGTCAACTCTATAGTGTAAGTTTGTATTAAATATGAATGACCATCAATTGTCGACTGAGGAAAGTTTGTTCAAAGACATCCATTCAAAAAAGAAGTTCATTTTTTCTCGATTGTCACAAGACCAACCTTCCTAGCTTGTTCTATTCAGGAACTATAGAAATCTTTCTGAGACTCCAAACCGACCAAATGACTTTCAATCACTATAACCTGACTGAAGATAAGGGCAATCGAGTATATTTCGTTCAGTGGTAGTGTTTGCTTTCAGTTTCAAAGAAATGTGAAGTAACTGAGCTCAGATTCTCATGACCTCAACAAGTCATGGTAAGTACCCTACAGAAACAATGCTCGAGCAACTCTAGCTCATGACATCAGGTTGCTTTTGGTCTGAAAACAAACACCGTCACTAGACTCAATATACTTGATTACTCTTATCTTTACCCATTTTATGGTAACTGAAAGCCAGCTAGTCGATTTCGTTGTCTCAGAAAAATATATGTGGTTCATGAGCAGAATGAGCTAAACGGGTTAAACTTGTGCAGATAGAGAGAAAGAAAACGAATTTCTTTTTGAGGAGCACTTTTGAAGAAACTTTCTCTAGTCGACGATTGCTGTCCAATCATATTTAATACACACTTATACCACAGATTTTACTCTTTAGAATGATGAAAAACAAAGCTTTATATATTGTTCCTATCAACAAATAACACCCATTGGATGCTGATTCACTTGGTCCTAGACTGAAAGATGATAAATATTAATGCTAAATAAGAGTGGGTCGATGGTAAGCCCACTCTCGGAGATGTTGAGATTAGAACCTTTGTTTTTTCGTTTTGAATGTTCCAGTGCCAATATCTCATGGTCAAAATATCAGGGATTTCCAGTGATCCCATGAGGAGTTATAGACATTGCAATAGTATGACAGCTTTTTAGGACCCTCAAAAAGTGACCCATTTTCTGTTGCTACTTAAATCCTTGATATCTCTGTGATACTTCAAACCCTCTAAGTCTAGGTTGCTTTCATTGAAAAAAGCATGCGATAGGATACTCACGCATATATTCTACTTTTCCTTTCGGAAGGTCCTTTAGAGCACCAACATCGAAACACCGACATTTTAGCCTTTTTTATGAATAAAAATACCATGTTTTTGGAGGTATTTCGAACGAAAGGTACCTTTCGCTTCAGGTTACCAAACTGAATTTTTTTACCATGCATACTTTATATAATGTTGAATCTTTTGGTACTAAAAGATCTGAGAAAAGAAACTTGAGAGAGCCATGGCATCTTCCACAAAGTGCACCGGTAAGGGTATCTAAACGACTGGATTTGTTATCATTTCTGTAGAAATGAAGCTCAGTTTGCGATGAAAACTTTAGCAATAAGAGAGCTCGCAATTATCAATCGCTCCGCAAACTTTCAGATCTCTTCGATGAGTTTAACCTGAGTTCGAGCCTTCACTATTTATCATACCCCTATGATCACTTATGGTCAAGAAAATCGAATGAACAATAGGCAAGGTACACGAAGTTGAATAGTCAACTAATATATCCTTCGATCGAGTATTCAACACTGAATAAAAGAGAGCAGTTGGTATCTGATCGCATTAAGAATTTACTGAAAAAAAATTTGGAATACCCTTTTGCCTGGTTAGTACCTAGATATCACGGATGTATCATGAAAGACCGACCAAGCACCTTTTGACTAGACTTTGAAGTCATATTTTGGGTGTTAGTAGTCCTCATCAAGACCTATAACTCTGTGAGAAAAATCATTTTACAAAAAGTTGTATAGTGTTCTTTTTTCAAGGACAAATTATCTGAGCGCTATGCACATAGTGCAACTGCTGATCTCGTGTGCCCAAACATTGCTCGCCATTTTATATATACTTGGATCTATTTTGAGCGTGAAAGTAGTGCTATTGGAGACCTTCACATTTGTAAGAAAAGCCAGTTTCGAAAGAAATAGTTCGCTGTAGTTTCTCAGATACACTTCGGATGAGGATAAACAAGATTGTCTTTCAATACAGATCAATAGAGAGTATTAACAAGAGATGGTGGGTATAAATGTTCAACACTTTAGCATGTCTTAATCAAATAATTAGTGACAGATGTAATACTGATGGATGCTGTGCTAATAGGAAGAAGTATAGTAATGGATCGCTGTGATTAGATATATACTCATTCAGTCTAAATTAGAAGAATTTTTGTAACTACATAGCATTAGGAATCCGGCTTTTTTCAGACGAAAACGTTCAGCATAAGGAGAAACAGCAGGCCGTAGCATGATAAGAGTCGACTTTTTATTCGCTTTGTGTGATTTAAGGGTGTACGATTGAATTTTGCTTGATAGTCAACGAACTTTTGTAATCACAATAAGACAATCATGATTAGACATCGGCGTGACCACTTTTTTTTGGTCACGGTCACTCACGGTCACGACGAGTTTAGTCACGGTCACGGTCACGGTCACGATGGTTACGATCGTGACCGTGACCGTGAGTCACGGAAATTTTAGTGTTTGTATTTGTGCGATATCTTTCGATGACCCATGCACATATGCATTATACA